ATCCGATACCTTTACAACTATGCATTATCCTTTCTTTGGTTCGGCTTAAATCTAATCTACCGTTTGCCTTCCAAAAAGAGTAAGCCTTCATTACTAATGCTCCTTATTTATGCATATCTTCTGTTTTCATGTTTCTAATCAGTTTTAAACCTACCCTACTATCATTAACCTGTTGACATAAGATTAGATATGAAAGTCTATAAAGTAGTCTATAAAGATACCTTCACCAATGAGTGAAAACCTAACTCAAAGGTGTTTCTGATGAGTGATTCTTAAAGGATAACATAAAATATGGTTTACTGGTTTGAGCACTCGGTTCAAAACAGGAAGGACAAGGTTTCAAGTCCCATCCTACCCCCTTCCCTTATTCAACAGCTGGGTATATGACAGTGCCATGTGACAGGTATCCACAATCGAAAACTCAGTGAGGCGATCCAAGTGAATACAGAAGTAAGACAAGGCTAGCTGTGCATGAACACTGATGATAGTCTTAATTGTGGTGGACTGCATTATGCGTTAGACTGTGTGCACAGGGGGGGGAGAAGACAGGAATCCGCTGAACATATGGGAAGACCGTAGAAGATTTGGATTTGGCGACGGATGATTTATGTCCAGTGTCACATAAACTCAAAGACTTGCAAGCGAAAACCAATAAACTGGCCAGAGAAGCCGCCAGAGAAGACAGAATTCCAAGTGAACATAGAGGAGGCCAAGATGATAAAGATATCCAACCAACAGCGACAGCAAAAACAACAGCAAGCACCAGTCATCATCAACAGGAGAGATTCGGTAGAGGTTAATTCCTTCACTTATCAAGAAAGCACCGTTTCTACAACAGGCAGGCGGAATGCATGAAAATGTTAAAGCCAGCCAGCCAGAATCGGAAAGGCAACATACGTCTTCAACGACATGAAACCAGTTTAGAAATCTTCTTAACTGACTGAGCACTGAAGTCACTGAAGTCATTCACTTCTTCGTTACCAGTCAGAAACGGGGTCAGTGTTTCATAAAGAAGATTTTCAACAGTCAACTTTGGTTTTTTATCATCCTTAGTTACACTTATCGAGTGTAGCTATCCAGTTGCTTAGGCGGAAGTAGGTGAGACTATTACTATTATTATTCCCATGGTTTCCTAGAGGAAGCTAGGCCTGGCTTCAACAAAGCATCTCCACTTCGTTCTAGTTTCTGCTATATCCTCTTCAGCTGGTTAGCTCTTAGGTTGCCCATAAATCTCTCATCTCTCCTCAATGTCACCTTCGTACAGACGATCCACTCGTTGCTTCCTGCTGTGATTCCAATTAAGCAATGACCTGCATTGAGCTCTGTGTCATTCGACAGCCTTCTCAACGTTTGACCAATAAATCCATCCCCATTTTTCTCACATATTTGTATGAATGTGTTTAATTACGTAGAGTGCTATAGCTCAGTAGTTCTCCAGATTTCTTATCTTATTATCGAGATCAACTAATCTAGATATTGCTCGGTTTTTATGCTTCGCTAGTCTGTCTGAGATTGGCCTACTACTCTGACCCATGTATATGAGCTGACAACCATTACTACTTACTTACTCTTACTTTACTTCGGCTATCTCCTACGGGAGGATGAGCTGGCTTCATGAACAAGAGTTCATGAAGTTTCATGGGAATTGGGTACGAGTGATGTCCCCAGCATCGCTCGGCCTTTTGTTTGAGAGTGTAGCTCTAGCCTTTACACAACAAAGTGTGACCTGCAAGGCAGTAGGAGTGGAGTAGGGAGTCCACTATCCATTGGAAGCCAGCCGGTGACCGGAGTCCGGTTCATACACCTTTTTAAATGGGGCCAGACATTCAGGGCATCCAATAAGCCCTTTGTCCATACGTCTGCCGGTGAGCTTCATACACCAGTCAATGGAGGTTTGAAATCAGGGTTTAGCCATCTCCCCTAGACTGTCATCCAATGGACAGTCAACCCGGTGAAAGCGCCGGGTATCCGCTTTTGCCCTCTCACTTCGGTGAAAAACACCTCCGCCACGTGAAGGCAGTGAGTAGGATTCCTCAGGAGAGGCTATGTAAGACGCCCGGTCATATGGGAGCATTTCAAGAGGTGTGCGGAGGGGTGGCCAACCCGCAGCGCAAGGCACCCACTCCCGACCATACTGAGACAACCATACAGGCAGGGTATTAGATAAACTAAATTATTTTGAAGTGCTGGTTTGTAGGGATTTGAATGATTGGTTACAGGACATCATCATGAGTTGACATCAGTTAGAGAACCATTAGAAAACCCACCCGGGAGTATGGACAGCTGTTTCGTCAGCCTAGTTTGGGACTCTTCGGCAGCACGCACCCACGGGGTTCGAACCCCGGCCTTTTCTGGTCACAAGACGAGGTGGTATACCATTGAGCCACTGGACCCGATCCAATGGCCAGCCCATGAATTCTAAATTCTGCCAATTCACAACATAGCGCGACCGCTAGCCAATATTTTGTCTAATCGGCTCCTAAGTATCTATTATCTGACAACATTTGTTTCTAAATGGACTAATTTCAAGGAAGAGAGAATATCCATTCTAAGGATTCTTGAAATACAATACTGAAATAAAGGTTTTAAGAACAGAAATACAAGTTTCACGATTTCATCATGAGCTGACATCAGTTAGAGAACCATTGGAAAACCTGGGAGTACTGGACAGCTGTTTCGTCCTAGTTTGAGACTCTTCATCAGTACGCACCCACCGGGATTCGAACCCATGACCTTCCGGTTACAAGGCGAGCTCGTATGTCAGCTCATGATGAAATCGTGAAACCAATCAAATCCCTACAAACCAACACTTGAATAGAAAACAAGTATTCAATAGTACTCATAGGCTAAATGATAATTGTGACTAGAAAGAATTTTTGACTGTCTATTTATGTAACTAACTGAAATGTCAACCCTTTTCTAGACGGCGTCTTTACAATTCACCTACTTCCATTATTATCATTATTATTAATATTAATATAGTAGTAGTAGTAGTACAGCGATTCTGATTACTAGACTCAGCTAAAGACGTCTGTTTCCTATGGGATGACAGATAATTGACGACTATTTCTAAAGTTAAGAATAGAAACAGTAATTAAATATTTATTAAAAGACGATAAGAATGGGAGGAACTAATATTCTGTTCCATCTTATAGAGGTTCTTCACTCACTGTCCCCTTCTCCCTCCTACTTTTCTTTTGCCTTTTTTCTATTTTTGGTAGACGCTGAATGACAATAAGATGCTTGTTAATTATAGTATGATTTCGCTATAGTTCAGTGATACGGGTAGACTTTAAAAACAGAAATATGCACGATAATAAAGTGTGTGATGGTGTACTCTGTCAGGATATATATATATATATATATATATATATATATCGCAGAAGGGAACTACGTACTCAGCTATTGTTATGCATTCACTGACACACAAAAACACATCACCAGATGTGATAGAGTTACAATACCTATAGACTAGGATAGCTATATAAAGACAAGAGTTCCTTCACTCATCATGTGTCATGTACAATAAGGAATAAAACTTTAAGTAGTACACAAGATTTTATTAAAGAAAAGGCCTATTAAAATTTCCAGAAGAATGGATATTGAACAAAGAATACTCTTTTCGATAACCTATTCTTCATCTGGCTCTACAGTTATATATACACATTATAGTGAATGAATGAATGAATTAGTGTTATGAACAACATTAATGTTGTTGCTTAAATAATAAATAAACAAGCAACCTCGTTTTCCTACCCCACATGGGGAGCATCGTTTCAACTACAGGCGGACGGAACTGATGACGATATCAAAGTAAGGATCGGAAAACCAAGGTAGGCTTTCATTACCGTCATTCTGTATGGAGAGATCAACAGCACTCAGCATGAAAAATAAGATATGATTTTCAACTTCATTGTGAAGCCGGTGCTACTATACGGATCACAGACTTGGCGCCGCGTCACGAAGGACACTTTGAACAAACTACACAGCTTTATCAACAACTGTCTTTGTCTAATACTACTGAGGATCAGATGGTCTGCTAGAAAAGATGAGGAACAGGGATCTTTGGAGCGAACCGACCCAGCAGGAACCAATTGTGCAACAAATATGAAGGAAGAATTGGAGGTGGACTGGCCATACTCTGAGAAAACAAACCATCAAGTGACTGACATCACACTCTAGGCCATCGTTCTAGTGGAAACCGAACGGGAAGTGGCGAGTTAGTTGGTCGTCAGTGTGGGGGTGACATTGGATGAGGCAGTGATGTGAAAGAGAGATGAGAGCATGTGGGCAGACGTGGAGCCAGGTGATGAAAACGTTGGCGGAGAACCAAACGCAAATGAGAAGTGTGGATGAAGCCGTATTTTCCTTTAGGAATTAAAAGAAACAATAATACTCTGAGGTCAGTTATGTGGATCAGACTAGTAGATCAGAGTCAATTCGATTATTGGAAGGTAATAATTTAGGTAGACCTAGAATGACTGACCCTGATAAATGAAGTAGTCTAGAAAAAAGCTCTACTACTGCAATGCATCCACCTACCTAATATGGTGCCACAGGGTGAGGGTATTAAAAAGTAATATAATTACATGGTAAAGAGAGATAAGTTACCGAATTTTTGTTTATCACCTCGCTAAGCCAGAAGTAAAGCTGGTACAGAGGAAAGGTTGGGCATGAGTTTAGTAACCCCATCCTGTAAAAAATAAACACCGCTACAGAGACTTCAGGCCTCTGGCTTGAAGGCACTCTATGTTCCGCTGAGAACGTGAAGGAATTAATAATTATAATACACTGTAACAGCAGTTAACAGATTTTGATGGGTACACAGAGTTGTGAGAGGCATCGATCAACTTAAAGGAATTTTTGCTTAAAAACTCCAAGAATGGAAGATTCCTTTTAAATTAAATGACGTTCTGTATGCTTAAAAAAAACTGTGCACCATAACCAACACTATACACAGAAAAAATTCAAGTACAAAAAAAATAATAATTTGTGATTACCTTGAGCACCTTCTGTTACTTCAGAGATTGGTGTTGTTGTTTCTTCAAATCTTTCAATTTCTTCTGTAACTGAAGTTTCGGGTTTTTCACCTTGATCCGATGTGACTTTTTTAGTAAATCTAAAGTAAGATGATCCATATTCTTGAATCGGTGGTAGATCTTCTCTTACTTCAGCATCAATCGGCAATGGGACTGTCACCATAATAACACAACGGCCACGAATATAATCTTGTTCAGTTGTTTTACGATATCCTTTAATATTTAAATATTTTCCATCTTTAATTTCAACTTGTTCACCAATACGACTTGGATTGACTGGATTACCTTGAGCATCAATAAATTGCCAAGTGTAACTGGTACTCTTCAAATCAACTTCTAAATCAAGATCATCTGTGGAAATACACATCAAAAGAAGAAAAAAAAAATAATAATCTACTTTATTCCAAAAACAGCACTACTTATAATTCCGAATGGAATTCTCAGCATTTGTCACAACACCTTGCATCTGATTTGATATAAGAATAAAACTTGTGCACTGTGGTAGTGTAATTCCATTATGGGTAAATTTTGTTTTGATAAAGTCTCACAGTGTTTGTTATACAGTAATGTTTACTGATGACCACGTTTCGAGCACAATTTATTGCCACTCATAATCATATCAAGGTAATCACACGACTTCCTAAATTCATTTATATAGTTCCATTGTTTTTCTCTTGATTTTCACTTGATTTGATTGGTAATAGTATTTTCCATATTTCAGGTATGAGTGACGAGCCATTCCTATTGCATGTGTTGGGTGTAGACTCGATTAACCAGGGGGATTCAGTAATCAACCTCTCTCTCCACCTATCTAGATTACTTTTTAGAATTTTAACCCTCCCCATCATCCTATTGTGTGGTTGTGTGTTAGCGCATGCATTGCAATTGCTGAGCTTTTTTCTAAATTACTTATCTCCATGGGGTCAAACCTACAAACCTATAAACTCACTCAGAAACAAACCCTGTAGGCTAAAGGACCCTGTCAGTTTACCCAATTAGACAAAATCATATTATTTACAAAATACCCCGCAATGACTGTGAGTTAGGTCAACTACATAGGTCAAACTAGTAGGTCAGGGGTAGTCAGATTGTCAGAACATAAGAATTTAGCTAAGGTAAGAATGGTTGACCCCGAGAAGATAAGTAATTTAGAAAAAAGCTCAGCAATTGCAATGCATGCGCTAACACACAACCACACAATAGGATGATGGGAGAGGGTTAAAATTCTAAAAAGTAATCTAGATAGGTGGAGAGAGGAGGTTGATTACTGAATCCCCCTGGTTAATCGAGTCTACACCCAACACATGCAATAGGAATGGCTCGTCACTCATACCTGAAATATGGAAAATACTATTACCAATCAAATCGAGTGAAAATCAAGAGAAAAACAATGGAACTATATAAATGAATTTAGGAAGTCGTGTGATTACCTTGATATGATTATGAGTGGCAATAAATTGTGCTCGAAACGTGGTCATCAGTAAACATTACTGTATAACAAACACTGTGAGACTTTATCAAAACAAAATTTACCCATAATGGAATTAGCATCTGATTTACTCCAAAAATAAATAAAATTAAAACAAAGTTAACCAGAGGAATTTTTCCACGTTATATAAAGTCAAAAATATTCGAAGTACGAATCGAGAGCATCAAATATAATAATAATAGTAACAGTAAGTTTGTTTCAAACATTACTGTCGATTCAGTTTGGAAATTTTAGCATGTTATAGATTATTGAATCCAATGTTCTGTTGATATAACAGCATGGTGAGGGGAAATACAAAAGTAACAGTTATAACACAGCTTAAACGATGTTCACACTTATTAGGGTATTATAAATATAAGAAGTACAATAACAATAAAGTTTGATGTTGTAAGTGTGGAGGAAAATATGGTTTATTTAGTAGTGCAAAGAAGGTTAGTTTGTTCATACCTAACACCATTTTCATCACATAAAGTACGTGTGAAATATGGTATAGTGGAATTTTTATACTTAGACGTGCATGCATAAAGTCTTCTGGAATGACTTCATGTTTCACCTGAGGAGGAGACACAAAGTTGGAACTGCAGGTGCTGAGGTGGATGCTCCCAGTGTGACAAAATCCCATTAGGAAATTTGTTACATGAAAGTTGCAAGCAAGTGCCTATCAATGACAATGTCAGCAATATGGCCCAAATGGATAGCAGCAGCTCGCCCTACTGACAGTCTTTAGAGTTCTACGTAGTATTACATAGTCTTTTTAAGGAATCCAGGAAAGAATAAGGGTAAACAGTAAAGAAGAATAGGTAAAATACGCGAGTTGACAAACTGTAAGAGGAGGAGGAGTTGGGTTATGCGTGAGTGCCCAAACTTCTTTATCTACAATGTCAGACGAAATATTCTTTTAGAAATCGCTAAGACATGGAAAGACCAGGATAGGTCATAAGAAAGAATTAATCCAAGTTACTTAACTTCAGACTTGGTTTCGATATCAGTATCATCAATTTTGCAACGATCATAGGAACCAACAGCTTCATTTAACTGTCTTCTGCATCGGAAACTGAAATTAACAGTCTGACATCTGGAAGGATTTAGTGTAAGATCATTAGACGAAAACTATTCACTAACTCCTGATAGAAAGCTGTTCATCTTAATACAGTCTAGCTGAGAGTTAACAGACATTGAAATAGTTAGATCATCAGCATGCTCAACAAAGTTCATTTCATCAGAGTAAGCCAAGTGATGCAAGGAGAAAGAAAACAGAAAAGGAGAAAGGACATCGCCTTGAGGGGCACCAACCTCAGTAAGCAACGAAGTGGACCACTTTCCCTGACATACAGTGTACTGTTTTCTCCTGAGAAATAAGAATTCACCCGCTTGACAACCCAACAGTCAGTTTGAGTTTCAGAAAGCTTGTTTAACACAATATCCCTAGGTACTGAGTTGAAAACAGATGTGTAATCTAGGAAGGTGCAGCGAGCAAATTTAGCCCCTATATCTAAGCTGGAGAGAATGTTATGATACAAGACTGCAACTACATCGAAAGTACTTCTACTGTGTTTATAAGTGAATTGTTTGGGATCGTTAAAGATTTTAAGTGAAGGTTGAAGATTAAGTGAGAATAACTCTTCTATAGCTTTTAGAAAAAGAGACTAACTCTAGGCAAACCGTCTGGGCCCAGGCTACAAGAAGGGTTCAGTAACTGAAGACATTTTAGAACATCATTTGTATTGAAACCAGGGAAGCAGGTTCCATTAACACTTGTGACGCTAGAAAGTTTAGCTTTTGTGGGAGAATATATGAAAGACTTGTTTAGTATGCAAACATCAAAGGAATAAGGAATACTATTCATCTGCTTACCACCAGTAATTTCTTCGAAAAGTTTCCATAAATTAGACGTATTTTTACAGGATATAAACTTCTGGTTGTAAATTGAATTCAAGCTGTACATTTCAAACTTTATTAGAATGTTAATTCTTTTCAAACCAGTATTATCTTTCATTTTATATAACTTTTCTTTTCGCCTGAGAAGCCTTTTAAGTTGAGGGGAGGAGAAACGGTCAAATCTGATCAAGAGCGTTTCTCTGGGACAAGAGGTGTCAAAACAAAATTTGAGTTAACATGTAATGTTAGAGATCGTGTCATCAAGATAGTCTTCATTAAACAAGTCCCACCTTGTGTCTTTGAGCATGCTCCTAAGATTCTGAACATTCTCTTTAGAGTAACATTCATGTACAATTTTCTTGGAAAGGTGTGAAAAAGTTCTCTTGTGTAACTATCCATAAATTTTGGGTAAAACCCGTACAATACCTTTATCTGAGTTAAACAGTGGGGCTCTTTTAAGAATTTCGTATATTCCACAGTCACTTATAAATACAAGATCAAGAGAAGTATCCAGTCTGGTGGGAAAGTTGACGACATTTTCATTACCCGGTAGTATTAGATAATGATAGCTGGCAGTGGAATCCAGTACGCATGTTTCTTCCGGTTTAGGATTCATCATCTAAATGCATCTGCATTACCACTGAAACTTATAACAATAATCGTCAGACATTGTCGGGGTTTCGTACTAGAAGTTAACATATCAAGAGAGGTCGAAAATTTCGGTTGAAATAATCAACAGTAAAATCATAATTCAATTAAGAAGTGAATAATAACTGGCACGTCTTGTAGAAGAGATGCTGGCCGAAGTCGTTCAGTGGTTAACGCTTTGGAGCTGCAAACGATGTGTGCTCGGTTAGAGTCACCGTGGGAGGGGGCAGGAGAAGGTACATCAAGTTGATGAGCCCGAAATGAAGAAAATCGCACACTGACTCACTAAAAATCTTTCTACACACAATGTAATGTGTTTCAGTACTTTATATACATATACATGCGCAAAAATGGTGACTCCAAGGTTTTTTCCATTACACTTCAATAATAACCAGTTGACCATATTCAAATAGTTTAAACAAGATTGGATCAAGCAGAATGAATAAAACCGACTAATAGAAACAATAAGCTCTTTACAAAAATAGTGATTCACTCACCGTTGAATTAACTTACCTAAAACTACACAGGTCAGTGTCATATCATCTCCTGGTATTCCAGCTGCATTACCATTTTCATCTAATCCTTCAATTTCAACTTTATTTGATCGACCGCTTACTAAAATAAGAAATAAGTAGGCAGAGTGAATACACTAAAAAATAATGACAGCAATATTCTGAATGTAAGGTGGTATAATGCAGTAGAACCACAAGTAGCACTCCAATTGTTTTCAACTTTTATGGATCCAAAAATCATGTGTATATTTTTTATAGTTTGTCTGCTGTTCCAGGAAGAAGGAGAAAGTTGTCACTGTCACCAGATAGCAAATTTTCAATGTTTCTAATTCAACTATACATCGCGGAATGACGTCAAAGTTTACAGTTTCTTCAGGAACTTAGTTGACCGTTATATTTTTTGGTGAAAACCCAGAAGGTCCTGGGTTTAAACCTGATGGGTGAGTACTGCTGAAGAGTCCCAAACTAGGACGAAACAGCTGTCCAGTACTCCTAGGTTTTCCAATGGTTCCCTATCCAATGTCAGCTCATGATGAAATCCTGTTACGAATCAACCAAATCCCTACAAACCAACACTTAAATGAAAATTATTTCATGTGCGTGAACCGATGTGAACTATGTGCTGTAACATGGAGCATGTTTTCAAGGTAGGGCAGTAGATCAGCAAGTAAACCTGAATCTAGGTTTCCTTAGCTTGATCAAAGAGATGTAACACTAAACCTGAATGAACTCGTGTCCTTCCATTGGATTCGAAGTTAGAGAGTTCATCTTAATTTTATTCTTGTCTGAATTTTTCAGATTCAGATTATAAGGATAGAAGGCTCTTATTGTATATGGTAATCCTCGCGATATATATCTTTGCAGAGATCCAGTTTCTCTTTGAAATCGTTCACCGATGAAGCTGTTACTACTGAATCAGGTAAGGAGTTCCAGTCGTCGACCACTCTGTGAGAGAATTTAAACTCCAAACGTATTTTATTCAACCTCGGTTTGAGCACCTTCTTGTGGTGACCTCGTCAATGTATTCTAGAGGGAGAGAAAAGGTTTGAAAAGTCAATCCTTAAAACAGCCTTGAATATATGGTAAGCCAAAATTAAGTCCCTCTCCTCCTTCGGTATGATAATGGGAAGAGATTTAAGTGCTCCATCCTCATATCATTAGGAAGGTGTGAGATACCACTAACCAATTTCTTTCCTACCCTCTGTACTCTTTCCAGGATATATGCCTCCTTTTTGAAGCATGGAGTCGCCGCTTGTATGCAGTACTCTAGATGAGGTCTGACATATATTTTGCATAGAGTACTTGGAACCTACCCTCGTCTAATCGTTTGAAAGCCCATCGAAGTGCCCATAGCAATCGAAAAGCCTTAACTGCGGCTCGATTACAATTTGCCGTTGTTTTTAAGTCTTGGTTTACAGTAATTCCTAAGTCATTTTGTCCCCTAACATCTAACAGTTCTGTGTCCCTCATGGAGTACGATGTGTAAGACTTCTGACCTAGGTGGATTACCGCGCTTTTCTTGGAATAATTTCCAGACTACAAAGGTTAGCCCATTTGGCTAATTTACCTAGATCGTTTTGTAGTACCGACCTATCATCGTTACTATTTCCGGTCTTCCATGTCTTAATATCATCCGCAAATAGTAAGAAAGATGAGATAAGAATTTTCGGCACTTCATTTACGTATAATAGGAATAGCCAGGGGCCAAGTACAGTTTCCTGAGGTACTCCACTTAGTACTGCTTTCTACCCTGACAGTACACCACTAATCCTTACCTTCTGCCTCTTATCCATCAGGTAGTAACTAAACCACTCACATAAGCGTTGGTTTAATACAAAATGTATTAGTTTACTAAGAAGACCTAAATGGGATACCTTTTCGAATGCTTTACTAAGATCGATGAAGACAACGTCCAGTATATGGTTTTTATCCCTGGCCTCGACCTAATCTGCCCTAGCCAACCATCTAATATCATCAAATCAATGTACACCGTGATGGCGAGCTACCTAGAATGGTCGCCATATTGCAAACCTGACTGACAGAATTCAGTCTGCGCCAAATAAAGGACTAGACGTATAACAGTAATAGCTAGTGTCCAATCAAAGTATCCACTACTGTGCTACAGGTAGGTCAGTCACGAACCATCCCAAACAGCTCAATGGTTACGTCGCTGATAGCAGTACTGGGTGGCGAGGGTTCGAATCTCAGAAGTGAGTGTGACATGAGTTCCTTCAAGGTTGCAGATACGCCTTGTTAACTGACTGGTGAATGCTAACTAGAACGAAACCTAGGTGTAGCCAAGGCTACCTGTGGCCGGTTGCCCTTCAGCCATCTAATATCATAGTCATTCCTTGTTAAAAGTCAGTGTTTCTTCCAAAGACAGAGATTTATAAGGCTGATTAGTCTGGGACTATGTATATGCTTGCTAGGCGTTCCGTATTCTGACCTATTTAGCAGCACTGCAGACTCTCTGTTACTTTGTCGTTTTCAGAAACCTCCTCGTACAGTCTCAACTTCATTCCAATGGTTACCAGTGATCTATTCTCATCCGAACAATTTTCCTATCAACTGCAAATCCAGTGTTCACTAAAATGTGTAGTTTCTTCAAGCTAAATAGTACCTACAAATTATAATGCTTTGGTGAAATAGACATTTTTCGTAGCTGCCACAGTGTCAAGGTTTCATGTATGCATTATTAATGACTGCCAAGATGTGGGAAATCGAAGCTGAAAACTCCTCCTAAATCACTTTACTCTATGCTCCATAATCACGTTTTTAAGTTCCCGTGTATCCAATTACAGGCAGTAAAATGGAATTCAGTTTTCTGATAGCTCAGAATTATCCATCATAATTGCAATAAAATACTTAATGGCATTTGGGTTTTGTGGGTCAGATAGTAGACTGCCAGACTAGTACTTTGTAAGCAATTAAAATGAATCTTCCTTGTTTCAGAGTCTCTCATACAGTTTTCAAGGGAATCCATCCTCATATTTTTGTCTTTGTTCCTTTTGTTACCCTAGGTCCTTATTAATTAGCTTCTCAAGACATCTAATGTTCATTATCAAGCCACCTAGGTCAAATGTTAGTGAATATCTCATCCGTTAGAAATGCCCTTGGAGATGGCTGTGCGAAATTTCCGAAACATACACAGGTGCCGACTTAACAATAGTGTTAAAAATTCGAATCTTCCTGCCTGTGTCAACTGCTGTATGTCTCAACACTGGTTTCAGAGTAGTGAACTCCTGCAATTTTCTCCCAATCCTAACTGGATTCGATATCTTTGTCCACCGCGCATGTAGTTTGATAGATGAGACCTAAGTGTCGGGGTAGTGAAGCAGAAGGCTTACTTTAAATTTTTCCCCACCGAGAATAATTAGCGCCTGATGTTAGTCGATGGGGTATTTTCATCGCCTCTGTCTTCTTACTGTCCATTTGAATAGTTGTCTTCGTTGCCTACTCTGCTAACCTGCTGGTTTCCACTTGTAAATCTTCAAGCTTGTGTATGTATTGAGAAGTTATTAGTCTACGGACCAGCCTTGTAACTGGAAGGTCCTGGGTTCCAACCCTGGTGGGGATGAAGAATCCCAAACTGGGACGAAACAGGTGTCCAATACTTCAAGGTTTTCCAGTGGTCCTCCAACCTATGTCATCCATTCATGATAAAATCCTGTAACCATTCAATCAAACCCCCTGTAAACCAACATACGAATAATTCAATATTATCCATTTTTTCAATGGTTTACTGTAAGGTTTTTCGTGTATCAGTAATGAATGCTATGTCGACATTTCGTGAAACTGAACCAAAAATCTTCTAGGAATTGGTATAATATCACAGGGATGTTAGAATTCATGCGGGCAGCTATTTATTTATTCAACTTACTGTCATATACTGGTACAGGTTGTATTGACCAAGATGGTTTTTCACTTCCATCTACCGGCTGAATATTGATCGGATAATAATCTGATCGATATCTTTTCAGTTGGGGTAATTTATCACTAACAGGCACATCATCATCACCTTCTTCAGTTTCTTTCACGATAGCATTAAAACGTATTTTCAGCGGTTTTGTTGTGTGGTGTGGATTAGTTATGGATAACTTGCCATCTTTTGTATTGAAGACAACTGATTCACCGAGTTCACCAGTATGCGCTGGTAATCCATTAATATAGGCTAAATCATAGGAATAACGTAGAAGTTGTGGATTTGTTGTATCATCTAATGGTGTATTGGTTGAGGCTACTGCAAAAGTAAAAAAGAGGGGAAAGGAGAAGTTAGCAAAGGGAAGAATTATGAGCTGAAATAAAGTAAGTCATCACACTGAAATGAATGAAAACGAGTTATATGTTTGCGTAATATATAGAAAAATGAATATGCACATACCGAATGTGAGTCGGTGGCGCCGGGGTGGAATGCTTGCCGAACACTCAGGTTGTTTGGGTTTGGTCGGCAGCCGACTTACCCCCCCCCCCGAATCTCGCTTTGCTGGTATTAAGCCTGGCAAAGAGGGAAGGTTAAGCCTGAGACTAGCATTCCCACCCTGTACCTTTTGTCCCACTGGGAACGCAAGGGGATAAGAAAAGAAACACTGGTTGTCATCTATGCGCCTTGTCCAAGTTGCATTAACAGCCGATGAAATCTTAGACTGCCTAGTTTATTAGTTTGCAGTAAGCTCATATAAAAGAGAGGATATTGGGCGTGAAATTAACAACTCCATCCGATGAAATCAACACCACAATGCAATTGAAGCTTCAGAGCTTGAAGTCTTTTGGTCCACCCAAAACACAGTGGTTGAAGAAAGGGACGTGACGTGCAGCTGGGTCACTGCCAGTGGAGTCTGTAACAGTATGAATTCCTATCCTATATCTCCTGTGTTGTTCTTTCTTTTGCGTTTAAATTTATACTACTTACTACTAGTAAGTAGTATGCGTGTATTTGTTACTTCCTGACCATAACTTCGCTTGCTGTTGATGTTTAAATCACTTAATGGCTTGATACTCTATTTGATGTATAGTAATTACTTTCTTATATTTCGACATTATCTTCTGTATATGCCTTGTTTATATAACATTCACTGTTGAGTATTGCTTATTCGTATCCCTTTATTTCGTGTTTCACATTCGCGCGTTGCTTAAATCCACACGTGTACACGTGTCTTTGGCCCAGTTTTGCTGTTTTACTTATTGGCGCACACTGACTGTGCTTTTGACGGGATTTAACCACAGACGTCGTCGGTGGCATAGCAGTTAGGACGCTCGCCGACCATGCAAATGGTCCGGGGTTCGATCCCCGGCCACAGGCGCACTCCTTTACCTCGCTAAGCCAGAAATAATTCTGGTAAAGAGGAAAGGTTGGGCATGAGGCTAGCAACCCCATCCTGTAAAATTAAAAACTGCAACAGAAACTTCAAGCCACTACCTTGAAGGTGGCCTATGTTCCACTGAGGAACATGAAAGAAAACATGCCACAGACACGTTACAATCTGAGACAAATACATTATATTTCATTATTTCGTATTAAATATATATCACCGTATTTTAGACAAATCCTGTGTTTTCGGATTTTATGCATCATTCTAAGTGTGGTTAACTAATCGTTTAGATTATAGTTCCAGATTTCTAAAGGAGAAATTCACAAACAGTCTGTCAACTCAAATTTATCTTGAATCGCGTATCAGTGATTCACAAGACCGCTGGACATTATCCACGTTGATGCTAGTGAAATAACCATCTCTCTAGGTTTTCAGTGATCTCTGGATTTGGATAGCGTTATAAGAAGACGGAGATTATCTGATTACATGATGTGATGTACCTGCGCTATACATTTCGAACAATCTGATCACAAATTTACGTGTCAATTCATGTACTGGCAACGTCCATTTGGCGTTTGAAACTGAACATTTTCGACAAGTGGATGGCGTTGCTATGCGGAGTCTGTTAGAAACTTTGTTAGCGGACGTTTACATGTCTTACGTTAAGAACCAGTCCCTTGATTTAATTTCTAAATTGCTCTTCTATAGGAAATATGTAGATGATATCATTTTGATATGCGACGATCATGAAGACGCAAGTCGTCTATTAGACAGACTTAACTTTGTACAGAATTATATAAGTCTAACATTCAAGGAAGAAAGTCTCAAATGGCTTGCATTTTTAGACACACTTCTGAGTCGAAGAGATGACAGTTGAATAAGACGATCAATCGACAGAAAGCCCACTCACACAGGGTAATGCCTTAATTTTCACGGTTTCTGTCCCTTACAGTGTAAGAGAGGCATGGTGAAATATCTATTTAAGAGGATTCAACGTATTTGCACGACTGATGTTATAGACAAAGAAAATGAAATATTGATGGATACTCTTGTTGAAAGTGGGGATATCCTTTAAAATTTTTAAACAGGTGTAGAAGTCAGTTAGTCTCTCCAAACCTACAATCCATACCGTCCCTAAGGAAAAGGTTTTCATCAAATTACCATATAACGGGGAAATAAACAGTAGGATTTTGAGACAAAGGTTGAATTCGATCATCCGTAGAACCTAATATGGAGCCCAGTTGGTAATTATGGAAAAAGCTAAAATATGCTTCATTGCAAACCTCGAAAGTACACAAATGATTATATCACATCCTACACAATTTACCAATTTTCGCGTGTGTGTGATCACATATACATAAGGAGGAGTAATCACGTTTTGCATGTGAGGGTGGGAAAGCATATCCCAAAATGGTTAGAAAAACAGATGAATTGTGAAAAACCAATAGATGCAGGTGTCAGACTACCAACTTCGTCTATAGCTAAACACCTGATCTAGATGAACCATAAGACTGATGTTAACACAGCCTTTAAGGTCATCTATAAAAACGGTCAAGGGCGCTTATTAAAATTCGTCGAGACTATAGCTATTCATAAACTTAAGCCCCCTCTGTGTATTCAAAAACAATTTATTATTACTCTTAACCAAGTCGGATGTTAAATACCTAGGCGTCACTCTATCTTCTGATCTTTCCTGGTCGTCTCATATCTTGACGATTTCCAAGAAAATATTCCGTCTTACCTTCTACATCAAGAAGTTAAGACTTTCTGGTGTAACCCAACCCTTACTCCTACAATTTGTTAACTTCCGTATTCTGCCCATTATTCTCTATTGTTCCCCCTTAGTCTTTCCTGGGCTATTGAAGAAAGACTATACCTTATTACGCAGGATGTTAAAGGTTGTCAGCAGGGTAAGCAGTTTGCCACTTAGCCAGCTTGTTAATGTTCTGGTCGGCAGGCACATGGACTCATGTGAAAAATGGGCGAAATCAATTTTATCTGACTCACAACATCCTCTACATTCACAACTCTCCCCATGTATCTCTTCAGGGAAAACCAGAAGCCTATATAGGAAACTATATGCCCGCACTAGCAAGTACAAAAACTCATCCATACCCTACCTAGCTCGAGTTCTGTGCGATAAAGAAAGCGTTAGGCGGGAAACCTTTAATTTATTAAATAGTCAGTAGAACAAGGGGATCTCGTCTTTCGAAGTCACATCATTTACAGGTACAACGTTTTCTCTCTACCTTTTTTTTGTTATGTGTTGTTTTGTTTCTCTCTTCCTTACAAACTCTACTTAAAACATTCTTGTTCGTTCTTTCACACTCTGTATACCTCGACCATTTTGCTATTGCTTACGCCAGTAAATATGCTAGTAGTATCTACTTTTCTAACACCTTCAAACACTCTGTTTAAATTTTGGCTTTGCTACCGACTTGCTAATATGTTGTTGTCAAAACTGACTGAGATAACCTTAATCTATGTAGAACTATATTTATGTTATGTTATGTTAATGTACTAACTGGATGCAATATTGTAGTAAAATGCTGAGAATTCCATTCTGTATCACAAGTACTGATTTGGAATAAAGCTTACCTTATCTTATCTTGGTAATCCTTATTTGATTGGATTACCAAACGTTGTGTTAATTATTCTTAATTCTATTTTTTGTCACTTTGTTTAATTTAACATTTCCATAAATATATCGACTTGACAAGTAAGTGTGCGATTAAACTGTTCGAAATGTATAGCGCAAATACATCACATTGTGTATTCAAATAATCTCCGTCTTCTTATAACGCTATCCAAATTTATAAAAGGGACTAATTGTTTTAAATATCTGGATTAGCAATTCGCGTATGTAATTCATGGAAAAACAACCCAAGACTTGTTAAGAGATTAAGTTCTTTAGAAAATGAACTGCTGAATGCCACTGTTTACTAGCTAACCAAGATTTAAACATGATCCGTCCCTAGGGTAGTTGATGAGAGTTGTGTAATCATCTAATCAGTATCAAACAAGATAATTAACCAAATCATTCTATTCTAAAAGAAGCTGACTTGATTTAAACAAAGTAACTACTCACGTATAGTAATAAATAATTTTTCCTTCACGTCCCCAGTGGAACATAGGGCTCCAAGCTAGTGGCTTGAAGTTTCTGTAGCAGTGTTTAATTTTTACAGGATGGGGTTGCTAGCCTCATGCCCAACCTTTCCTCTCTACCAGCATTATTTCTGGCTCAGTGAGGTAAAGGAGTGCGCCGGCTGGGGATCGAACCCCGGACCACATGCCCGGCAGGCGAGCGTGCTAGCCGCTATTATTACTACAATTTTGTACTTTATACATATTTTTCTCCGTGTGGCACACAGTATTTTGCTACGTAGCTGCTATAACAATCGTTTTATTACTATTATGTATTGTGTATTTTTAATTTTTTTTGTCGTTTTTGAGTAAATTAGATGCAATATTGTACTGAAATGCTGAAAATTCCTTGCTGTATCATGAGTACTGTTTTTGGAATAAAGCTATTATTATTATTATTATTATTATACCACCCACGTGTAGTAGTACTTTAATTTAATTCAAAGAAGGCTTACCAAAACAAGCTGTGTGGATAGGGAAACATTTACACTTCTGTTTTAATGAACTTTAATTTAAAAATAAAGATGACTTAGAGAAATATCGAAAACCAGGTGAGCATTGTTTCGTTCCTCCTTTGGAAATTATTGTGTAATGTGGAACCGGGAAAGTCAAAATTCACCAAAAGTTATAATTCGTGAGCCGTTGGACTGCTTTCCATTGGCCGATTGATGATGTACTAGGCTTGTAATCTGTAGGTTTCAGGTGTGACCTCTGTCGGGCTTACCTGTTCCCACTGCCGAAGAGTCAAGCATTCAGAGGAAACAACTTTCGAATAATCGTCGGTTTC